AAGGCCTTTTCCATTAGGTAAGTCCTAAGGTGAAGTTCCTGCCCTTTCTGGGTATGGCTGGGGAATGAACAGCAGATACTGCATCTTGCCACAATGTCCCCATGGCAGTACACACAGCATTGGTGGTCATTGCTGACCAAGAAGTATTGTGGGCAGGAAGCACAAATCTTGAAGCCTGGAGTCCTGGGCATAGTCCAGTACCCAAATGGGATGGGGAGGGTGGGGTTTGGGAGGCTCCCCACGTGTGGTAGACTAACTATAAAACACTAAAACTAAACAGATAAAAAGTTTAAAACTTGAGAATATAAAATCTATCTACAGCTATCTAAATATATTTTCACAGGTAAAGAAGAAAGCTGAACCTTCAGACACTGGATGTTCCAACCTGGACCACGCTACAGAGAGAAGGAACTGAGAGGCGATCGGTTTGCCCTGTCTTTTACCTCCTCGGTCAGAGGCATGAGGTGAGCCAGGGCGCATGTGCAGACCAACGGACACTGCTTTCAAAATTTCCCAGCTCTGGGATCATGGCATGCATGCATTCCCACAGTGGACATAGCACTTGAAAAAAAAAACAGATATACTGTAAGCTCAGCTTTTAGTGCTGGTGACAGTTACCACTACCTTGACATCCCTGAGTTTTACCTACAGTTTTCCTGATGTTCAGAAGTCCTAGCAGATTGTGAGCATGTCAAAAGGAGAGCTGGAATGATACAACACTGCATTATGGCTTTTTTTCCCCTCTTGTAGTGACTTTTTTTTTTTAAACACTGCTATTTTCCTGGTGAAAGGCTGGGGCACTTCGGCAAACATGAATGACAACATTTTGAAATCCTTCCAGGAGATTAATTCACAAAATAACTGTTACAGATGACATTAGGATAAATAAAGACAGCGAATTACAACAGATAGTTTCTCAAAAGAACAGTATTTAAAACAGGGGAGAAAAAGTACTAGTGTATGGAGAACTATAACAGGGGAGGCAGACACCAAGAAGAAACACAATGTAAGGGTATTTGGCGATGTAATAAAGAGAGAAAATGTTTGGCTATGAAACAGAATACTGAATCAAAATGTTGCCTATAGCCTAACAAATTTAGAACTTCCTAAAAATGAAGAAAGCTTTGATCTTATTGATTTTTTATTGAAATGTGGATCAACAAAGTATCTAAAAAACAAAAACAGATAGAAAAAACAACAGAGGGTTCCCATTATAGCTGAAAGAGAATTTAAACTGATCAAAAAAAACCCCACAATAGCTAGAACTATGGACAGTAGAGAGAAAATCTTTAAGTCTGCAAACCTAGATATAGGGACAGTGAATGGTAATGTGGTATAGAAAAAGGTTACCTGTGTAAAGGGAGCACATGCAGTGTAGGATTTTCAAAAGCACTCAGTGTTGTCCTAATTTTGCTGCCATTGACATAATTGGTAAATACACAATTTATATTAGTATGTGTTTTGTATGTGTACAGTGAAACCTAATTTAAGCTACTATTCAAGGAACTTAAAAACCTGGCTGCTTACAGAAGGTGGTTTCATAATTCAGTGGTTTCTATTCAATATAGGTTCTTATTATACTGCACTCATTACTGTATTATCTGCACACCTAATAAAAAGGGAGCAAAATTATAATCAAGATACTTTGGGGCTTTCTTTTAAGAAATGAAATTGCTAATAAGAATTGTCTCTTATACAGGTTTCTCTATCTGTGTGCATCAAGAGGTAATTGTTTTTAAATACTGTAAGTGATGTTTTATATTACTTGCATGAAGCATTCAGTAGTACTGTACTGCCATTGCATTAAACAAATCTAAGCTTTTTACACCTGTGTATTTATTTGCTTGTGGCAGTTTGTATCATCGCTTTGCTGTTTAAAATAGTGCATTGTACGTATAATATACAAACTTCCATTTCATTAACTGTTTGGCAGTGCTGTTGAAACTGAAGATTTTGCCTAATTTATTTAAAAAATCTTGGTAATAAATCCATTCAAACTCAACTCCATATTAAAATTATTTGATTGGGGATTCCTTTATGTTTTAAGAAACATTTAAGACCTGCGCAGTGCAGGAAAAATGGTGGACCTTACAAGCCACGAGGCATTGGAGGAGCTTATAAGGGTGCAGATCTGAACTCATTCCTTTTCTGATTGCCTTCTACCTCCACATGGGTCTTCTTCCTCTCTCTTCTCCAAATCAGATAATATCCTCTAATCCTACAGCTTCCATGAGGGAGTCTAATGACTGTTCATTGCTCCCCTTTGGAGCCTGAAATTGTTAACTTTCTGGAAATGGTGCAAGACCTATTTTTTTCATAGGCATTTGGGGAAGTGGGTGATCTAGGGCAGGGGTTATCAACCTTTCTCTCTCTCAGCTTCCCGCCCCACAACATGCTATAAAAACTCCATGGCCCACCTGTGCCACAATAACTGGTTTTCTGAATATAAAAGCCAGGGCCAGTGTTAGGGGCTAGCAATTAGGGCAATTGCGTGGGGCCCCTACAAAGCTACATTTCTCAGGCTTTGGCTTCAGCCCTAGGTGTTGGGGCTCAGGATCCCGGGCTTCAACCCTATGCAGTGGGGCTTCAGCTTTCTGTCCTGGGCCCCAGCAGGTCTAACGCTGGCCCTGCTTGGCGGACCCCTCCAGGGGACCCCGGGTTGAGAACTGCTGATCTAGGTATCATAAGGATTTTATTTATTACATGAAAACCATCTTTAGAGTCTACTTATCACACAAACCTCCTCAAAAAATAATCAAAGGTACTTTTACCCAGTAAAAAAAAAGCCCAGTAGAATATATGAAAATGAAGCACTTTAGGATATATGGTGACCTTAAAAAAATAAACAGCCAAATTTTTTAACTTCCATGTCTCCAAAATATCTTGTGTGGTTTGCCCAAAACTTGGCAGAAAAATTCAATCATGCAATGGGATCTAACATTCACAAGACTAGTTTGGGTTTAGTGAAATAAGGAATGGGAATGCAGTTTTGCAAATCAAGTATCTATCAGGAAGCTAACTTCAACATTAACTATGGAGAGACTAGTACCTCTCCAGAATATGTCCATGTTCTGTATATGAAATGTGCTATTCTTGCCTTTACTCTTCCCTCAAAAGAAAAACTTTGCAAAGAGTGCCTCCAGAGTAAATACACTGCTTATTTTTTAGAAAGATACTGGTTCTGGGGGTTAGTGATGGCACTCTTGTGCTGTGAGCATGGGGTGCCCTATAAGAATAGGAAAATATTCCATTCCATCACTGTGCAAGTCATTTGTGATGTGGTTAACTTCTTCTAGTGGCCAATGTAAAATATGTATCTAGTTTCCTATATTTGTTTTGCATATTATTGGTTTCACCATTCCTTGCTCTAGTAAGCAGTACACTGTGTGGTACTGGAGGCAGGCTGTATGTCAAAGGTTGACAGAAATTAGAACATCTCTAGATAAACTAATAAATGCCTGGTATCAGAATACTGCTTAGATAGCCCTGCTTAGCTGCACCTTGTTTGTCTTAACCCTCCCCCCACTCAGGATGCAGTTTTTATTTATACTGTATTTTCTGGATTCCAATCCACAGGGAAATGCAGAGTCTACCTTACTGTAGGGATTGTGGGCCAATGCAGAGACCACACACACACAGAATCACATGGCTCACTGTGGTTAAAGAGCTGTGCTCTAGGTACGTCGACAATACTTATTTACTACTAAGCCATGGGCAACTTTCCAGATTAAACCTTTTCCAGCCACTTGAATTGCCAGCTGCTCCTGAAGATAGTCTTTACAACCAGTATTCAATGAGTACTATGGGGTACATCTTCCTTTCTTGGCACGGAAAAACAACTGTTCCTTTGGCAGAACAAGTGAGACCAGAAGCTCAACATCACCTGGAGCAAAGGGGGGGGGGGGCACACTCTTGTGACTTGCATTTATTGTTCAATATAGATAGATGTATAGCTCAGAGATGCATGTAGCATAACTGAGTAACTGTCTGATCTTATTTTTGTAATTCTTTCCCTTTCTCACCCCCATCTAACCCTATTGTTCATTAACAAAACAAAACAAAATCAGGGCAGGAACCATGCCTTTCTAGTTTCACTGTAAAGCACCTAACTCATTTTTGTACATTAACAGAAATTAAGAACACTTGTGTGGACACAAACGTTAGAAGTGTTCACGCCTGCAAAGAACAGACACATATATATATATGAACAAAAAATGTGCATGCAAAAGTACAGATTGGGGGATGAGCATTTTTTCCCCTCAAGTTTTAGGCTGCCAAAGTACTTTTCCAAATAAAAAGCAAGTGCATTTTAGTGTACACAATGTTTTTAAGTAACACTATTTTTAATAAAGTAACTTATGATGTGTCTAGTCTCTTTACACACCCAAGCGGAGTGAATATATATTTACAAACGCTCACCCTGATGTGCATTATTCCTTACCTTCAGTTGAAAATAACTTTTAAAAATCAACAATCCTAAATATATAGGCACATTAAGGTATCATTTTCTAGTACAGCCCATCAGCTATATTAAGAGGGAATTTAATGTTGGCAATATATTTCCATTCTTCTTTTCATGATTGTGTGTTAAACTTCCCAAAAGATTATTAAGGAAGAAGGAATTATGAGGAAATTTGATGAAAAGCAGAAGACTTTCAACTCTTATGTAATACATATTATTAAATGTGGGCTCAGGGCCCAACTCAAAACCCACTGAAGTTAATGGAAGTCTTTCCATTGACTTAATGGACTTTGGGTCAAGCGTTCAGTGTCCCATCCCACTTACACCAGTGAACTTAAAGCAACTCTGCCAATTAGTTTTAGAAATGTGGATCCCATCCAAGACTCTGAAAGTAGTAGATTAAATTGAAAAATACAACATACCTGAAAGGTGTGTATACAAAAATCCTGAAGTCGGTAAAGAATATAGCATGTTAGTCCTTAAAATACAAAGTACCTCATACTACAAATGTTTCTGTGAAAATCAATATATTTCATACTTCTCCTCTTGATGGTGGTCCTCTTGGTCACTAAGCTCATCATCATCTACCAGATGTCCAAAGGGCTCAGAAGAAATTGATACCATGTTAGACAGAATGATTCTGCTATCACTGCTGCCTGAAAGGACTAACTGGTCATGAGAATGATTGTATCGTACATTCCATACCCTATAAAATGAAAATAATTTAAAAAGTATTACAAGAGTCTATTCCACAGAGTCAGTAAATAAATATACTGCACTGTTTAAATACATTATTTCAATTTAAACGTGAACAAATAGTTTAAGAGTAATATAATCTGTAAAATGGGTTATGCTCTAGGAATTATTTTGGGGAAGTTCTATGGCCTGTGCTATACAGGAGGTCAGATTAGATTATCATAATGGTCCTTTCTGGCCTTAGAATCTATAAGTATGGGTAGAATCTGACACACTCATTCTAGAGATTGTTTTTTGCTGTCTTCATTTCGGTCATAAACTTCCATGTAATTTGATTTTCCAGGGCCATATCTTTAAAATTCAACAAACAGGTTGCAGGTGGGGAGAGGAGGGTGGAGGGACCAAACCCTAATATAATTCCCCAAGAGCAAGTGTCTGCTTATGGTTCAATATATCAAACAGACAGTCTAAAAATACTAAATACAGTAAAGTACTCTAAAAGCAAAATATGGATTCAAAATAAACTTCTACATTAACCAAGATCTCACAACATTATCACACTGAACTGTTAAACTAGACCCTAAATCAAAAGGATTAGATTTTGCTAGTGTTTATATTTTATGAATTAGGTTAATACCAATTGCTTTATGATTTTCTTTTGTTCTATTTTTGTTTTCATCTTCTCAACAAGTAAAAATATTGCTTCTGTTAATTTGCATTTTCAAGCTACTACCAAAGTGGTTGCGGGGTCCAGATTTAAGGTGCATGTGATTCTGCAGCTCAAATCCCAATATAAAGTGCTCAGCTTCTCTTAACTACAAAAGTATCTATTCATAAGCATTCAAAAATGGAATGGTTAATCTCTTTAGTAATTTTTTTAAAACTATGGGTGAGATTCTCACCTTGCTCTGGCCCCTTCATATTTACACAGAATGGTGTAAAGGGGCTCTCAAAGTCTTGGATCTGGCCAAGGGAGAATACTGCCCCAGGGCACAAAGTGATCTAAGGACCCCCCCCGTGCCTGTGCTGGCCCAAGGGATGTGAGGAGCAATTTCACGGGTGCGGGCTGCAGCATGTAGCACTGTAGAGATGTTGGGCAATGCAACTGCCATAAGGCAGCCCAGGGAGGATGCTGTAACTGAGACAGCCCTAGGGCTGTGTAAATTAAGTCAGGGGCCGCAAAGCAACCCAGAACTCAGAATGCAGAGATGTCTTAAAAAAGACACCTGAGTCCCTTCTCCCTGTGCTGTGCCTCTTAGAAAATACAGCCCAGAATCTCACCCTTCATACAGCTGAAAATACCGTACTGGAAATTAGATTAACATTCCCCAACCCTTAATTTACAAATTATACAAGAAATAGTCACATATTAAAAGCATTCCTCGATGCAGAAAAATGATGAATCACAATAGCATAAACACAGCTAGTTTGCATTGTTTTTAAACAGTAAAATAATTAGCAGAATAAATTACATAAACCGTCCACCCACAAAACAGCATGCAGATAATTTATTCTACCAGTGGGAATGCTCCTCTAGTGTCTTCACTGGCTCAGTGACATTTCTAGTATCCCAGAATTTCACCTTGCAGTCATCTCCACAACTAGCCAGGTAGTACTGTTTATTGGGATTGAAGTCTAGGTCCCGTACCAGCTGTCCATGTGCATTTTCTATGTAATAGATCTGTCTGTAAAACACACATTAAAAATTAAATGTACTATGAAAGCTAAGTGCAGTCTACTGATAAAAATCTGTTTCTCTAGTAACTTGGTTAATCCTTTGGCAGTGACAGAGTTAGGCCACGTCTATATTATAATTAGGGTGACCAGATGTCCCGATTTTATAGAGACAGTCCTAATATTTGGGGTTTTGTCTTATATAGGCACCTATTACCCCCCCACCCTGTCCTGATTTTTTGCTGTCTGGTCACCCTAATTATAATCTTTGGTTGACATAAGTTACGTCAGCATACAGCCATTGAGTCTGTACATCGCTTGTGGGCATGCACACTTGGCTGTTTGCTTTGGGGTGGTACGTACTCACCAGGAGTGGCTGTGTCAATGCAAAGTGCAGTGCACCATGTGTAGATATCCCAGTGTGTCACACACCTTTGTACAGTGCAATGTCTTTTGGGAAATTTTCATGATGTGTTATGGGACAGAAGTGACTCGGCCAGGGATTTCAGAGCTAAGGGTCAACTTCTCAGTGTGCAATTTTCTCTGCCCCATAATGCTAAACATATCCCATAATTTTTGCACCTTTTTAAAGCTACCTGTAAACCCTGTGGCACTTTTCAGTGTTTGCCACCTCTGATAGAAGCCTGCAGAGCTCTGCACTTTTCTCATTAATGTTGCGATGATCCGCTGGTATTTACAGAGCTGCAGGAAGTACTGCAACAATGGGAGACATGACAATGTCTAAAAGACATAGTGAAAAACAATTCAAGATTGTTGGTAGTATTCATGGAACAGGTGCAACAGTGAAGTGTTGCTTCTGGGCCCGAGAAACAAGCACTGGCTGGTGGGATTGCATCGTAATGCAAGTTTGGGATAATGAGCAGTGGCTCAAGAATCTTCAGATATGAAAGACCACATTCCTGGATCTGTGTGCCAAGCTCGCCCCAGCCCCCCAGTGCAGGGAAACCAGACTGAGAGCTGCATTGGCAGTGGCGAAATGAGTGGGGACTGTACTGTAAAAGCTTGCAATTCCAGATTGCTACCACTCTATGGGAAATCATTTTGGAGTTGGAAAATCCATAGTGGGGGCTGCAATCATGCAAGTGTATAGAGCCATTAAATAGTCTCCTCCTATACAGGACTGTGACTCTTGGCAATATGAAGGACATGGTGGATGGATTTGCAGCAATGGGGTTTCTGAACTGTGATGGGGTGATAGATGGCATGCATATCCCTATTTTGGCACCAGCCCATATTGCCACAGAGTACATCAACAGAAAGGGCTATGTTTCTGCATAGACTGTCGGTCCTTCATCAGTTAAGATTGAGACAATCACAACACGTCTTCCAATCTTCTCTCGCTCTGGCCATCCTTCGCCATGCTTGTCCATATCTCCTTGTTAGGAAATCATCCCACCTCTTTGGAGGCCAACCACATGGCATGTTTCTATGGTTATGCAAGTATTGGTAGCTCATCGGGTTGCTTTCTTGATATTAATGGGGGCTGGTCAGGGAAGGTGCATGATGCTAGCATCTTTAAGGACTGTTCAGAAAGCTGCAAGCAGGGACATTCTTTCCACTGGTGGATTACCATTGGTAATACTGAAATGCCAAATACTACCTTTCTTCACCCTCTCCCCCATACTATTCTCTATCATCTGAACATATGTCAGGATTACCCCAATCTTAAAAGACCCTCCCTTGACCACACTTGTTTCTTCAACTACTGTCCCATCTTCTTTCTTCCCCTTTCTTCCAATCTTCTTGCAATTTATTTCCACTGCCTGGACTTCTTCTGATTTAATTTTCTTTTGGAATCCACACATTCTGGTTTCTACCTTCTCAGCTTGACATACACTGCTCTTATTACAATTACCAATGACTTCCTCCTGCCCTAGCATGAAGGTCCTTTTTTTCCCTGTTCTTTTCCTCATTCATTTGTCTAACACCTTCAACATCATTTTCTACCCACTCTGGGGGTTTCTTGACAGTATTCTCCTGCTTCTATTGTAGCCCTTCTTCAGTATCTCCCTCCTCCCTTTTCCCATTCTCTGCAAATTTTTATCCTTGGTTCCCTCGTCTTTACTTCTTTTTCCTTAGTTATGGCTCAATTCATCTACTCTTATGGCTTCCACTCCTACTTCTGCCTACTTACAGGAGCTTTCTGTAAGTCAGCTAGTCTGGCTCCCCTTATTGTGAAGAACCTGCTTTTTTCTCCAATGCTAGTCAGTTATGCAGTTCTGCTCTGCCCAAGCTCAGAAGCTCCGTGGGTCTGAAGAGTCCCTCCTGCAGAATTTGGTAGCTTAAATAACAGATCCCATATAAGAATCCTGGGGTACAGCTCAGTCCCGTGAGCTCCTAAACTCTGCAGAGTAGAGTGGGAATGTCAGAGTTGTGGTTCAATATGACTATACACCAACAGGTCCACATGCAGTTGGTGTAACATTTTCATACACATATAAAACATGGGTAGCTGGGGCAGAATCGTTATATTCCAGGAAATACAGTGACTTTACATATTTAGTAGACAAATCAGACTAGCCTCTTTCTAGAGATACTACAGTCTCTTTAGCTCAGAGAGTTATTCTTGTTTGTATTTTTTTTTCCATGTAGATTGCAAATAGTTAATTGTCTGAAGCCCATTGCTCTTCAAACTGGTTTTGGGACTGTCTAATCTGAGCTATGATTTTTTCTATAGCTTGTATTTTGTTTAGACAAGCTGTAATTGTGAAGTTTGCTTTTGTAAACTATACTGTAGCATTTTTCTTTTAGCTACTGTTAATAACCTGAATAAATATTTTTCACTGGTGTTTACTAGGATACTTCATTAAGCACAATGTTCAGAAGATTTCTCCATTAGGACTAGTAAGTAAGAGCGTGAAACTTAAATGTATTGCGTGCATGGTCTTTATCACTTAAACTTTCCTTCTTAGAAACATAGTTAGGCTTTAAGCTCAAGTGTGAATACAACATGCTGAAATGAGATAATTACAGAAAACAAAGGAAGAGCCCCAAAAAATCCTTCTCCTTTGCCCTTCAACATTACCTCCCATACGTTTTTATTAAAGTCAGCCTTATTTATAAATATGAAGTTAGATTTTTGCATGTCCTCTTACAGAACAATGAAAATGACAAGAGGCTAGAACTGGGGTAGGCAACCTATGGCACGTGTGCCAAAGACGGCACGTGAGCTGATTTTCACTGGCACTCACACTGCTGGGTTCCTGGCCACCAGTCCGGGGGGGCTCTGCATTTTAATTTAATTTTAAATGAAGCTTCTTAAACATTTTTAAAACCTTATTTACTTTACATACAACAGTAGTTTAGTTATATATTATAGATTTATAGAAAGAGACCTTCTAAAAACGTTCAAATGTATGACTGGCACGCGAAACCTTAAATCAGAGTGAATAAATGAAGACTCGGCACACCACTTCTGAAAGGTTGCCGACCCCTGTGCTAGAAGTACAAGAAGAAATGGCTTTTGATGACTGTATATACGTCTAGTTAGCTTTGCTTTATGAAATTAAATAAACCTTTTTAGCTTGTGAAACATGGGGACTTACTGCTGCACCCTGGGCTTGCAGGAGCCATAGAACTAAATTTGAAATCATCCCCCCTTTAAGGCAACAGAAGTTATTACAAGACATCCGTTTTCTCAGTTTAGTGATAAATTACTGTATGCTAAGGGGATAAATGGTATCTTAAAAAAAGCTTGCAGAGGCTTCTGTTGTTATGGCAACAGATGTGCACATCACCACTCCTTTCCCTATCAAAATCACAAACAGAGCAGGTAAAGAGTCCCTAACTTGGTATATTTACAGCATTTTGTTTGTCTTGGCTCACTTTTTTTTAAATAAAGTCCAAGATTGTGTGGAACTAGTACGTTATAATCTTAGATACAGTAGTTACTAAAATGGTAAAAGTAAAAGGTAAGCTTACCTCCAAAGATTAAATTACCTTTAACCATCATACTATAAAGGTAACAATTAGTGCACCATCAGTACTCTGATTTAAACAGAAATTGATTTTCATGGTGAATTACGAAACAGCTCTAGTTTAAGTAATACTTATATTGTGTATTGAACAATCACATTGGGACTACTGCATAGTTCGATGACACTCAATATACAAGGTAGATTTGAAGCTTAGGAAAAACCCAAGAGTAAACCCTTTACTTGAAAGCTCTGAATACACCAACAATGCAATCCAAATCCATTCCATTTACAATTATTTATGCAGTCCTAGCTTTTCTACCCGTTTTTTCAAAAAACAAGTCAAAAGTGATGAAAATTAACCTCCAATGGAGAGTCTATTCTTTAAGAACAAGAGAGCAAATTTTTTTTCTTACCTCATACTTCGTGTATCCCATCCTCGAATGGCAGTATCATTGGCTGTTGCAACCTGTGTACAATTGTGGTGTGGACTCCATCGTCCGGAAGTAAATTTTAATTGCCCTTTTCCTTCCAATGCAGCAGAATTGGAGAGCTGTGCATTAAAAAAAAATGGGGTATTTACAAATAAGGCTAAAATAAAAATAAATGCAGACGCAGTGGAAAAATTGCAAGCTGACTTAATGCTCCAAGTGCAAGAAAGTAAGGTAGAGATGCTAGGATAATAATGGGGACAAAATACATACATACATACATAAAAAGTATGTAAAAAACCCAGACCAGTAAGTTTGTTTTCTAGCCTATACAATATGAAGTAATTTATATAAGGTTTATCCAGTGTAAGTTACTTAGTAGACAATGGATATAAAGTTTCAGAGTAGCAGCCGTGTTAGTCTGTATCCGCAAAAAGAAGAACAGGAGGACTTGTGGCACCTTAGAGACTAACAAATTTATTAGAGCATAAGCTTTCGTGGACTACAGCCCACTTCTTCAGATGCATATAGAATGGAACATATATTGAGG